GTGACTGGAGAGCTTCAGCCCAGCTCCTCCCTGCCTCTGCTGCAGCTGAGCCGTGTTGTTGTACCATGCTTGCTCAAAGTGTGGAGAGGGAGGCACGTCCTGAGTGCTGCCTGGCTCCTGGCACGTACAGGGATGTTTGTGGGGCCCTTGCGAAGGGGTGTGTGTGGGGCGCTGGTCCCTGGGGAGTTTCAACAGGCGTGTGCTGACAGCCTCCATCTCTCCTGCAGACAGAGTGAACTGATCGGCTGCATGAGCTTTGGCGTCAAGTCCCTCCTGACCCTGGACAAGGTACCTCTGTGCTGGAGCACAGCATGTGGGGCTGGGGTCTGGCTCTCTCAGGTCAGTGGGTGGGTGTAGTGCACCCCTGGGGCAGGAGCACGCTCCTCCCACCATGCTACAAAGATGCTCTGAAGGTGCCCAGGGAGTTCCCTGGTCCCACACCCAGTATGGGTGGCCACTATGAGACTGGCGCTGGAGGTAGGGATGGGGAAGCTTTTAGAGGAGGGATCCTAGGACAAGGGATCATCACCCCTTTCTGCAGGGGCACAAAGAGCATAGCAGCAATTAGGGGAGGCAGAGAGGTGGCCACAGCGAGTGTTGCCTGCCCTGCTGTGAGCGGGGCTTCCTGGGGGACAGGAGATGGGGCGAGCCTTGCTCAGCCTGTGATGCCACATCTGACTTGTGACTGGTGGCTGAGCAGATGTGATGGTGGGGACACACTCCAAGGAGGAGTCTGCCTGATTCCCTGTGCTCAGCAGCCAGGGTTTCACCAGCTGGGGTGGTGCAGCGAGGGCAAACGCAGAGGTCTGGGGCTGTTCCTGGAGGCAGCGGTGCTGCCAGGCTCTCTCTGAGCCAGAGTCCACATCCCCACTGCTGCAGACTTGGCCACAGTACTGCTGCCCCAGCCTGGCTACTGCTTGGTAATACAGCTTTCACATCTGCTGGGTTTGCCTTCCTAAAGAAGTCTGCAAGGCTGCTGCTGCAAATGACTCCCACAGATCCACTAAAACACCGAAACATCTCCTCTCCTCCCACCCAGGAGATCAGTGGCTGGTACTATCTCCTCGGAGAGGACCTCGGCAGGACCAAGCACCTGAAGGTGGCCACACGGCGGCTGAAGCAGATCAGAGGTGCGTGTCCCCACCGGGATGTCCCAGGGAGTACTGGAGAGGTGCGTGTCTCCACCGGGATGTCCCAGGGAGTATTGGCAAGGTTTGGAAGAGGAGTCAACCTCATGTCTGTCCCTGTGTTGGCATTGAGCAGCCCCCAGCCCTGTGGCACCTATGCCTCCATGAGCACTTTGCAGTCGTGTGGTGCTCAGTGAGCACTGGGATCCCAAAAGATTGCATGGGGAGATCCTGGCTGGTTCAGTGGGTTCTGCACAGGCACTGAGCTTTTCCCTTCAGCCCTCGCTCCTGCCTGCCTGTGTCTGTCTGGGGCTCTGGGGGAACCCCAGCATTGCAGCCACATCTCTCCCTCCTGCTTGGCTTTTCCTTGTGCTGATTCCTGCCTGTCAGACTTGGGGCTGATCCCGTGGCTGGACTCTGGCTCCTGGGGTCTGTGCAGGATAGCGAGGAGCTCTTTCTCCTGCCCTGGTCTTGCTGTGCTGCCAGGGTGTGTGGAGGAGGACAGGCTGGCACAGAGCAGGGTGAGACAGCAGTGCCCAGCCCAGATGTGAAACCACCTCACAGCTGCTGCCATGGAGGGCTGCCCCAGCCTGGAGGAGATGTGCCCATGACATTTAAAGAATGTAAGAATATCTAGTGTGTAGATGCAGTGTGGAGGGAGAGGATTGTCAAGGGATGTATGCTGTTGGGCTGATGTGGCCTTTCCTTTTTTATTTTTGTTAAATTTTATTTTTTTTTTAAAGAGCCGATGCCGGGAGGTCTGGGTGCAGCACAGGAAAGCCAGGATGCTGCGACCATGAAGCAGCTGAAGGTAGGTATGACAGGACTATGATCCACCAGGGGTGCAAAGATGTGGAGTTGGGAGCTGGCTGGCAGTGGAGGCTGCGTGGAGGGGTTTCAAATGAGATGAAGGACAGAGTATTGGTGAAGGAGATGCTGAGGTGGGAGCTGTCGGTCTCCCTGTTGACACCATGGCTTCTATAATCAGTTAACGCCATTGGTGGAGGTGGGTGATGTAACCCTACATTGTCACACAGGGACCTCCTGTTTTTCCAGTATATTGCCGCAGAGATAAAGCACCAGCCATTAACTGGGAGCGATGGTGACAGGGCTGGCCAGCTGCCTGCCGCACAGCATCAGTCCCCGACTGGCTCCATGTCTCTGTGGATGAGTGTGTCTGCTCCCCTCCTCCTTTCAGGGCCATTCTCTCTGGGAAGGGAAAGGCCCATGGTGGAGCCTCGGTGATTTATAGGAAAGGCAAGGGTGGGAAATGGGAACACAAACACACGGTTTGCATCGGAAATGGGGCTAGGCCGGCCCCGTGATTTATCTGTGCCGAATTCCGCCTTGCTGCTTCCCTCAGCTGCATTTTCAGTTATTTGTTTTAAAGCGTAGGATTGAGCAAGACAAACAAAGCCAGCGCCTCTCTCCTCCCTTCCTCTCCGGCAGTCGCCACTGACTTGAAAGATGGTGGCTGGGAAGGAAGAGCGATCCTCCTTCCAGCCCGGCGGCGCGGTGGCCTGGGACAATGCGGCTGGGAGCGGCCCCAGGCAGCACCTCCGATGGCCCCGCCATGCTGCTGGGTCCCTGGGGAGCACTGGGGCTCCTCGGGCTCCCTCCCCAGCTCCCCATGGCCTTGCCACCCCAGCTGCCCTGCAAGGGAGTCCAGGGCTTTGATTCCCTTGAGCCTTTCCTCTCTTTTCCATCCCCATGTAGGAGCATGGAAAGTGCTTTGTGCTCTGTTGCAACCCTGTCTTCAAAGGATTGTGCTGCAGTGGTGGCAGTCGGGGCTGCACGGTGCCGAGTCCTGCTTTGTGCCCTGCTGCTGTCTGGGTTAAGAGTTTCTCTTTGTCTTTCATTCCAAAATTACACCATGGGTGCAATTCAATTGACCTCTCTGCTTCCCCCTCCCTGACTTTGTGAGCACAAAGCATCGGGACGTACGTATCCTCTGGGTCTACACTTTCAAAAACAAACTCTGCTTTTTCTTCTTAAAAAAAAAAAGTCGTCTCTTATCCTTTATGAGTGTAACGAGTGCAAGCCGTCTTTTTAATGAAGTGAAGCTCGCACAGCCAGTGCCTGTGAAACGCCGCTTAAACATCCTCAAAGTGTTTGTGAGAACGTTGCAATAACAAAGTGCTCCGTGCGGCTGAAGAATGCCGCGGGAACAAAAGCCACATCAACAGAGCAGGGGCTAGGGAATACTAAATAGTTGACAGGAATTTTAATATAAAACTCGCTCCCTTCCTTGTCAGTTAGGGTTTTTTCAGGAAGCCCTCTGGCTTATCGTAAAGCGGCATACAGCGCAGACAGGGGCCGGGGAGGTGAAAGGTGGCTTCCTGCCATTCTTCTCTGGAGCTGGGTTCCCATGGGCGGTCATGCCAGTTTGACTGTGGTTTGTCCCACACTCGTGCGATTCGAGGAGATCGGGATTACGGCTGCTTCGGGGACTGGATTTTCATGGGCTAACGGCGAGTTGAGGGTTTCCCAGCCATGAACCGCTTCAATGGGCTCTGCAAGGTGTGCTCGGAGCGGAGATACAGGCAGGTCTGTATTTCCTATGGGGGAAAAAAGAAAGTGTGCCCAGCACGTGTGCGCGTTGCTGCAAATCTTGGTGAAGTTTCTGAGTGTCTGTGGGCTTTCTTATCATTTCTGGGTGCTGTCTGTGCTGTTTCTAGGCTGCTCATTTGCTGTCGTTATCATTTGCCAGTGATAATGTTGGGAACATCAGAAAGGATCTCCAGATCGGCGTCTCTGGCTCATCTGTGCCTGGTGCTGCAGTGTGTAGATGGGGATAGAGGGGGAGCATTTACTGTGCAACTTGAGGGCAGCATGCAACGATGAAAACTTTTAAGCCGTGAGGTGTTGTCTCAATTTACTGCTCATCAAAGGAGAGGCAGGCAGGGCAGGCAGCTCAGTCTCTGCCAGGCTGCCGCTATCTCTCTTAAAAATACTTTTTACATGAATGTATTGAGGAATCAAGTGTCGCTTGAAGCTGGTTACAACCAATGGCACGTCGTGTTATGAGAAGTGAATTGCTGTGCTCTGCAAAAGTTGGTGCCAGTTCTCTTGGACCCACTCGGTGTGCGACACCGGGTGCTGGTTTTGCTTGCACAGGTCCCAGTTTGCTGCGCTTCCAAACACAATTTTCCTTCCATGGTCTAGACTGGGGCTCCCAGTGCATGGGCAGTTTTTCTCTGCACTCCTGTGCTAATCTCTCATGTCACGCTCAAGATGCTGCGGGGCACATCATATATGGGAATTGCACAAAGAATGGTCTTAACTAAAAATGTCTACTTCTTGTCGGCGTATTGTGACAATCTCTCGCAGGAACGCTGCTCTGCTTTGCATTAATGACAACTGACTGTGATTTGTGTCTTAGACCTCCTCAAGTCTCTATTTTGACAATTTGTTCTGCATTTTTTTGCCCAACTTATGGCTACAGTGAGCCTCTGCGGTGCTGGAGTCTCTCACCACCTTGCAGCTTATGTCAGGTACTCAAATTTCCTAGTTCTGTGCAGTGGCAAAAATGGACGTTTAATGCCCTGTAATGGCCATGGTGGTGGGAGCTGAGGACAGCGGAGCATCAGCAGTGAGAAGCTGCTCTTTAGTGGCACAGGGAAGGTGTCTCCATGGTGGACAAGAGCCAACCAGCTCAGGGAGGAGTGGGAGACCTTTCGGTGCAGGGGAAGCTTTGGCTGGGAAGTGACCGTGGGGTCTCCATGGTGGGAGAGACACTGGGCTGGCTCCTGAGGTGCCAGTGGTAATGCTTCTGCAGGACTCGGATCCTCCTGCTTAATGTTTGAGATGTGAGGTTGGTTTGAAGGTGCAGAGCCACAAGCAGCCTCCTCCCCTGTTTGAGGATCCAACAAACTCCAGGGAGAAAAATAGTGTAGTGGGGCTGGTCCTACTTTTTGATCCTGCCAGGGAGAGACAGTTTATCTTTTGGAGCCTGATTTTATGCTGAGCAATCGAGCGGGGACGAGGTGTGGAGAAATGAAAGCTCACTGTGTTTGCCCTCATGTGGCAAAGGAGCGAGAAATCAGTTCCCCTCCTTGGCAGCCTCTGCTGAATTCCTCATCTTCTCTCTGACTGCTTGTTCTCAAAATAATACAGGTCAGATGTTGGATTTTTTTCCTTCTCTTTTCTCTGTCAGTAAAACAAGGATCTTAACAAATGTCTTGGGGGATAATCAGGTATTTACAGGAACTGTCATGCTGAGCTGCTGCTGGAAGCCAACATCAAAAAATAAATACCATTTTGTTAATAAGCTCAATGCTGCTTGAATCAGGAGGAGAAATGAGCCTAAATCAACACAGCATCCATCTTCTTCAAACTCAGTGAGAGTAAACATACTCACACCAGCTAATGAGGTGATGCATGCAGAGCCCGCTCCAGCACAGATGCCTTGCAGACAGGAGTGCGCTGATCCTCGTGGTTTCCTCTGGCGCAGAGGAGTGCTGCTATTTCTGCATCACCCAATGGGAAATGAAATGTTTAGGTGACTTGCTGTGTCAGAAATCAGTGTCAGAGCCAGACTGCTGGGTTTTCCTTTCTAATGGCTTGTCGGACACTTTGCAAGAGTCGTGAGTGGAGACTTGGGTATGCTCAGTAAACGCTCGCTTTGCAGCATTGCTCTCTGTTGATCTTCAGCTCGATTTTTGCATTGCTTTTTAGCACCCTTTCCACCCCTCTTCGGCTGCAGCAGTGGAGAGACCCATTGTCTGTGGGGTTCATAGAGTAACCAGCGTTCACCGTGACTGTGGACTCTGCGACTGCTTCTAGAAATGCCGTGTGTCTGCATTTCCCAAGGCTGTGTGGCCACATTTGGGTGAAGGGGGGATGCTCACTGACCATGCGCAGCGGCTGCTTTCCCACTTAACAAGGCAACTCTGGTGTCTCTCTTCAGATTACGATCCCTCGAGGAAGCGATGGGTTTGGCTTCACGATCTGCTGCGACTCCCCAGTCCGTGTGCAGGCAGTGGACTCTGGTAAGAGATCAGATCACTTTTATCTCTCTTGATTTCAATGACTGACTCTGCTTCTGTTTTGCTTCCCAGAGCATGTTGTGATTCAGAAGCTCCTGTGCCTTGCAGGACTTCGGTTACCTCCAAGAAACTTCACTTAATAAATTCTCTGTTGCCTCTGATGAGGTCAAAGGCCACTGGCTTAGAGCTGGGTCACTATTTTGGCAGTGTGCTGCAGTCATTTGCAAAGATTTTGTTCCCTCTCCAGCCTGAGAACTGTCTGCCTGGTTGGGAGATGTATGGATAGCATCTGGGGGGGGCGTTAAGACAGGGGCACAGAGGGGAGCAGGATCATAGGAGCCCTCAGTTGACTGGGCAGATCCTCTCAGACCTGGGCATGGACTTGGTGTCTCTGTTCTGCCCTGGTGTTCCCCACCAGGAAACACGGGAAGCTCATGCAATAGCTTTGAGGGAGCATTTATGACTGTCCCAGGTGCTGTATGTGTGTGCACATTGGAAGGTTATGCTGGCCCCACTTAATTTTTAGGTGTGGATGTTAGGGGAACAGATTAGGTTTGGAGGAGCGTGTGGTGCAAGCTGTGAAGCTGTGCTGGTTGGGTGCCCGCTAGCCCATACTCTCAGCTGCCTGTCCAGCAGGTGACTGGCATTTGTCTCTTCTCTCTGTAGGTGGTCCAGCAGAAAAGGCCGGTCTGCAGCAGCTCGACACGGTGCTGCAGCTGAATGAGCAGCCTGTGGAGCACTGGAAATGCGTGGAGTTGGCACACGAAATCCGGTGAGTGTTCACCCAAAGCATCAGTGCAGGGCTCTGGGGGAGGCGGTTTGTGGGAGCCTAGGGCAGAGGAGCAGGAGCTTTGAGTGGCTGTGGGAAGGAGAAGGGTTTGGGAAATGCAGGAGACTGAGAAAGGACTCTCTGGAGTGGAAGAAGAAAGGATGCAGGGGCTGGGGAGGGCAGGACAGGGGCAGAGGCATTAGAGGGAGAAAGGACTGCAGGGCTCGTGGCTGGCTGTTGAGGGGTGCCTCACTCCCTGCTGCTCCATCCCTGACTTGCCCCGTGCCATCTCTTTCAGGAACTGTCCCACTGAGATCATTCTGCTGGTCTGGAGGCTCGTCCCACAGGTAAAGTCAGGACATGAAGGCATGATCCGCAGGTCATCCTGCAAGTCTGCCTACGACCTTCAGTCACCACCCAACAAGCGGGAAAAGAACAGCTCCGTGCCTCTGCGGCCTGAGCAGCGCCGGAGCTGCCACATCCTCTATGATGGGAGCGATGGGCTGGTGCTCAACAACTGGGAGAGGTACACGGAGATCGGCAAGCGGAGCCAGAACACCATGCCACCCCTGTCCCGGGTCCCCTCCACTGCGGACCAGAACTACATCATCTTAGCGCCTTTGAACCCAGGGAGCCAGGTAGGGCTGTTTTCCAGCCCCGTGCTCAAGCTACTGCATGTGGGTGTTGGCTGTGCTTGCTGGATCCTCTCTTGGCCCGTGCTTCAGCCTAATTGAGCATCATCTCTAAGTGCTTGCTAGAGCTCATGCCATTTTTACAAGCCAGATCTGTGTCCCTTAATGGACCTTTCACTATTTTTCTAAGACCTTCACCACTGGGCCTATAGAGCTGGGGTGAATACCTCCTGCCTCCTCTCAGGGCTCACTCAAGGGGTAAGGATATGGGAAGTGTTTCCGCTGCATAGACCACAGTGCAAGTCATCGATCTCATTTTCTGCTGGCAATAAGGCAAAAATGATTTCCACCTCCCTGGAGTGCTTTGGCTTTGCTGGGTTTGGCATGTTGAAATTTGCAGTTGGTTGTTGTAATGTTTACCTCAAGTCTGCTTCAGGTAACTGTATCTTTTTTGGATTGTGTCTTACAGCTGCTGAGGCCTGTCTATCAAGAGAACAACACTACTGCAGGTAAGTTCCTGATGTGCTGAAAATGCTGCTCAGAGCACTCAGCAGAGCTAAACATGGTCTTTTTAATGCTAGCAAATCCTTGCTCTCAGCTCTGCAGTGCTGCAATGGAGCTTGAGGCTTTTGGGTAGTATCATCTTCTCACTCTGGGTCAAACATAAAAGCAAGAACCCTACCCCCAAGCCCAGAGGAGAGCACAGCTGCTGGTGTCATGGGTGAGCCCCAAGGTGAGAAGGGCTCTGTGGGAGCTCAAGGAGCAGCTGAAGGGAGGTTGATGGCAGGGCCTTTCCACTGGTTTCCCAGGTGTGTCTGGGGCTTCTGTGTTTAGCTTCTTGTGCATGATACCTTGCTGGGGGTGCTAATACTGTGGCCCTTGTTTTGAGTTTCATTTTCACTAAGGGAGTGAGGATGGCCATGACTCAGACATCAGTGCAGGTGGAAGTGCCAGGTTTGGGGAATGCTCCTTTCCTGGGCTGGTGCAAGATCTCTGTCAGTCTTTGGACCAGCTCTCCTCAAAAGCCTTTTGAAGCATAAACTCATTTTCTGCAACAGGTATGCTTGGTCTTTCTGGAGAGCTGGGTATGGGTGGGCTTGCAGGAGGAGTGGGGTGAGGTGTGTGGCAGAGCACTGTGTGAATTCTGGGCTGTGAGAGGGGCAGCAGAGATGAACACAAGGTCTCAACAGGTGACTGTCATTTCAGGTGGGGAACTGGGGGACAGAAACAACCCAAGAACAGTGAGGTCTGAAGATATGGCCTGGGGTGTTCACTGGGTGCTGCTGAATTTGCAGTTGCAGTTCTCCATGCAGAACCACCTCGTGCCAGTTCATTGATTCAGGAGTTCTGGAAGTGCGTGCTTGCACCTTGGTCTGTTAGGATGCTCTTAGGATGAGCTGTGTGGCCATAGCAGAACTGACCTCCTAGGCAGCATCTTGCAGAAGTGGCTTTAACTCAGCGGTTCCTCCTTGGTGTTAGTACAGCTCTCAGCACAATTTCCAGCTAGAAAATGTTTTGCTGACTGTAAAGATGGGGCAGTGTCTGTAGGATGGGGCTGCCAAAGCCATGGTGGAGATGCTGGGGTTCAGGAGGGAGCCGCATGGGTCTGAGACCCCTGTGCCATGAATGCTCCCAGCCCTGGAGCTCTGCGGCCAGGAGAATTTTCCACAGCTCAACTGCAGGGGATGTTTTGTACCGTGGATAATTGCAGCTCTTTCCTGCTGTTTGCAGATCCTGTGAAACGATGAGCTGGTCCGTGGGGACCTGTTCTTACAGCAGGGTGGGATTTGAAAGACTCGAGCTTCTTCCCATAACAATTCTTAGGGCTTGTTTTCAGTTTATTTAATGTTAAACCTTCAGAGGGAAGAACGCGCTTGTTAACCTGAGCGGTGATTAAGTGTGACGGCGTGGAGCTGGCTGCTGGTCACACAGTGACAGGAGCTGATGCTTCGGGCAGGCTGGGAGCGCTTCTGTGCCAGCGTGCAGGAAACAGGACTTTGTGCAGGTGATGAATTCCTCTGATAAAGTGAGGTGATTTAGGGATAAGAGGAAAAGCAGATCCTGAACAGCCCAGACAAATTATATCTGCCCTGTGTTGAGCAGTCCCTCGTGTTTTGATTTTATCTGACAGCGCAAACATGAAAAAGGGAAAAGAGAAAATGTCAGGATTATTGAACTTAGAGGTGGAAACAACCTTTTAGGTCATTAGAGCCACCCCCCTGTGAAGGCAGACTGTTAAAGTGAGTGGTAAACAGCAGGTCTGGATTGCCACCAGAGCACGGTCTGGCTCTGCTGGCGTTTATCTGAAAGTCAGTGCGTGACTTCCTAATACTTAATGGCATGTGTAATGTTGGGTAGGTTTGTATGTTTGCTTTGGACGAGACCTTATCTGCTCTGAGCCATGTTCAGAAGTGTTTTGGCTCATTTCTGCTTGGGAAGGTTGCGGGTATCAGTTACAGTGCAAAGGGAAAAGCCAGGATGCAGAAAGCTGCTGTGGTGGGAGCAGAAACACCCAGGCTGGAAGGGAGGGATGCTGGGGGGGGGTCCTCTGCTGGAACACCCCTCTAGCAGGGGCTGCAGCAGGGTTTGCTCATACACGTTACTGAGGTATCGCTGCTGGGGAGGATCCTGGACTGATGCTCCAGTTTCTCACTGTGTTAAGACCCAAGTGGAGAGAGAGTCCTGCCTGCTGGACCTGACCTGGTTTGGTTCATCAGTGTCGAGGGAGAAGAGAGAGCCTCATTGTGTGGGTGCTGAGAAAATGGTACTGCCTATCCAGGTAGAGCATCTTCAGAGCACCCCACGTCCCACTCGTTGAATGAAATGCTGGTGGGAGCTTGCTGGATGTATTCAAAGGCATTGCTTTGGGCTGGGAGGAAAGGGCTCAGAAAGCCCATACAGCAGCAATTGTCTGCCATTAGGGGAAGAAAGAACTCTTCCATGCAGTACATAGCCAGGAACAATTATAATTGCTGATAATTATCAATAATGCTTTTAATCACAGCATTATCAATTACATTAGGGATTCTGGGGCTGGTTTGATGCACCTCATGATGTCCCCTGGCCTCTAGCAATGCAGACTGGTGGGTGTGGAGTGGCCGCAGTAGCTGATGTTGGCTTGCTGGGAAAAGTCATAGCTTTGCTGGAGCAGGGAGGTGGGAGGCTGCAAAGAAAAGCTGCTGTGTAATCCCCCCTTTGAACGGGGGTAATGGATTTCTGCAGTGAAGAGGGACAGAGCGAAAAACCAGTCAGGCTGCTCGGATGCTTTCCAGCATTGAAATACACTGAAAAACAGTGGCTGATGTGCCAGCCTCATGCAAAGTGAGCTCATCCTTTATAAATACACCCCCGTGTCTGAGTAACCATCACATCCCTAGGAGCAATTTGGAAAGGCATGGATTGATCCCATGTGCATCAATGTGTTTATCGCTTCTGTCCCATTCTCTGACACCTCCAATTTTAGTATATTCTAAAAACTGTGATGAACCTGCTACCCAGCGTCCCACGACGTGAAGTTCCTAACTCCCATGCCCAGAATCCAGAGCACACAGGGCTTGTGTGGATAAAAATGTACCAAGGTTTGAATTTCCAGTGTTGTTTTTTCTCCCACCCGAGTTAGTCACAGATGGTTTTCCCCTCCCTGGAAAGAGAGAGGAACCTCCTTGGTGCTCCTGTGATTCACGATTGACCACTTAAAGTCATGTCTGGGGTTGTATTTCTTATTTCGTGCTTTCAGTACTGCGTAGGGGAGTGCATATAATTGTACCACATCTCTTCCTCCAAAATACTGCATCCATAAATTGTGCAGAAGGCAGCATATGCCCAAGCAGAGGCAGATGTGCTGGGCTGCAGCTGAGCTCGCTGTGACTTCCTTGGGTTGTCATTTGTACGTACATAGATGTGCTTGTGCTGCTCTTGTGATCCAGTTAAGTCCTCGGTCCAACGAATGAGTAGCTTCTTGATTGAGTAGAAATGTCAAGGGACATCTCATTTTGCATTAGGAAAAATGAAGTCAGTGCTGTTACTTCATGAATCCCTGGGAAACTTTGATAGCAGAGTGATGAATGTCTGCAGCTCTCGGCTCCAGCTCTTCCCCTCAGGCTTTACATGCCCTCCTGTGAGAGCAGGAGCCGAGCGGGCAGCAGCTCTGTGGGGGCTCCCTTCTGATTCTGTGTTTCTTTTGCTCCAGGAAATGCATGTAAAGGGAAATCACACATGGGGTCTGGGAGAAAATCCAGGCTGATGAAGACTGTGCAGACGATGAAGAGCTACGGGAACTACCAGAACTGTACCATAGTGAGGCCACACATCCCACACTCCAGCTACGGCACCTATGTGACACTGGCTCCCAAAGTGCTGGTGTTCCCCGTCTTTGTGCAGGTGAGTGCAGCTGGATGTGAAGTGTTATGGATCTACTGCTGTCATGCCAGGTGGATATATGTCCCAGCAGTGCACACCATGAATGCAGGGATCCCCTGTCATCCTCAGCTGGCTGTACTCAGCACAGTGCTGGGTAATTGCTCCAAGGGAATCGTGTCCTGCCCAAGCGATTTTCTGTTGGAGTTTTTTCCCTTTTCAGCCTCCAAATCTTGCTCTTGAGTGCTTGCTTGAGCCAGGATGAGATGTCCCAGCTTCTGGGCTTCAGCAACTGACTGTGTAATTGAAAATCAATGTGGTTTCTTTCCTTGGGTTCTTTGTGCTGTTAATTATAGTGTGCAAACAAAGGTGCTTTTAGTTCAGCTGGTGGGCAGCACTAAAACCATGGACAAGGATCTAGAGCAGTAATGGCTTGACAGAGAGGATGTTCTCACTCCTCAGTTCCATAAATGATTTTATTAAAATTTAGCCCTGAATTTGATGGAGGCAGCTCACTTTCTTTCTTCCATTTTGTCCTTCACATGGCCAGAGCCCCAGAAACCATTATCTGATCCTGTATATTTAAGTACATTACTGATGGATACCTTCATCTCTGAGGCTGTGGGGAACCAACCATCATGGTGTCAGCTCATGACTGGTGAATCATCAGACTGGTGATTTCCTTTGGGCTTAAACCCACAGACCTGAGCCAGAAGACTTTTTTGGGGCAAGTATGGGGCTGGGCTGGTGCTGGTGCTGGTGATCAAGCTTATGCTCACCTCCATCCTCCTTGATAACACCCAGGTGGCCATTCACGTTGGCACTGTTGCATTCACCAGCCCTGTCTGCATGCACAGTTTGCCTTTTGGTAGGAACATAACTGGTACTTCTGGCTCTTTCCTCCCAAAACTTGTGTCTTGGGTTGAGTCTGGGGTGTTTTGGCCACTTCAGGAACTGTTTTTATGCTTCGTACCCCTGTGCATGTACCCTCAGGTGCCTGCTGGCACAAGGGGATCATCCTGGGCTGGTTTTGCAGCTCTTGTCTGCAGTCAGGACAACTGAACCTGTCCCGTTCTGCTCCAGCGTTAAACAGCGAAGGCGCTGACTGGGGAGCTGAGCGTGCAGCGTGGTGTGAGAAAGGGCAGCTTTCTTAAAGTCACTTTAACTTACTGTGAGAATGATCTACAAAATCATCTAGCGAATATTCTTGTCTGAGGGACGTGAGAACCTAACGGGCCACCGTTGTGGTTGTGTTTCCTGCTAAAAAGCACCCATAACCAAGCCCATACTGTGCAGAACAGTTAACGTACAAAGAGGCAAGCGGCTGATTGTCTTTTTATAGATGGCTTTGACGTAGGTGCTAAGTGTAAAGCGTTCTCTTTACCCTGTAGCTGGACTGCAGACTTTCTGTCCCGTTGAGCGCAGTGTGGAGTGAGTTACAGCTCAAAGAGAAGACAAAGTGGGTTTGGTGGGCGGAAAGATTTTCTGGCAAACCACACTTCCAGTGGAAGGTCTGACTGTTTGTTTCTTATTTTCTCTTTCCTTTCAAATGCAGCCCCTAGATCTTTGCAACCCAGCCCGGACTCTGCTTCTGTCAGAGGAGCTGCTGCTTCATGAGAGCAGGAGCAGGACTATACAGGTGAGACTCTTTCCATGCTATCTGAGCTTTCTAAACACCCTCTTCTGCAGCCGTATATGGCAGACTGAGAAGGGAAATTATTTATTTTTGCATTTATTTTAAAAGGATATTTAGAAAAATTTATAATTGCTTTATTATGGTATAAACTAAATATCAAAACTCTTCTCTGCTAGAAATCAACTTTGTTTCTTGTCTTCTTTCATGCTCACAATGAAGAAACTGCGCATGGAAACGCACAGTGGCTGAGGCCGCTGGCAGACTTGGAAAGAGGGAGTTTAAGAATATTTTGTGCCAAGTTAGAGAACTAGACCGAGAACTTGTTAGAGGGGTTTTCTGAAATTTAGTTCCTGAAACAGATCATGTGTCTTGTCCAAATTCCTCTCTTCTTTTTCTTACTTCAGCTTCTTTTCTGCCATGTTATCAGAAGGCTGTTAAAAACCTGGGAAAACAGCTAAGCTTCGGCTGCGTGCTGAACCTGTGATTGTAACAGGTTTGCTGCTGCCTTCACTTGCATCTGACTGCAGAAATCTGCAAAGCCCTGGGATTTGGGATGGGGAAGTGGCAGCTGACAGAGCCCGCTCATGCGTTGTGCATTGGTGCTGAAGGAAACTGCCATTTCTTCTGGGGCATTGTAAGAGAGTCTCACCACTGTACAGAATAATTTTACTTTTAATTTAGTTGGCGTGAATAATATGTCATCTTCACAGAGCCACAGAAGAGTTTTTACTTAAAAAACTGTTTTACTGTTGTTTTACTGACACCAGCACCCAGACACATGTCGTATCTCTGGCCTGTACAAAACAGAACAAAATTGTGTTATGTTAAGTGACTCCTCTCTTTATGGTTTTCAGGATTCATCCTTTGCTTTGACTTGAGTCACTGTTTTTCTCTTCTTTCTGCCAAAGTACATGGAAAAAATGCATGATCCATTACGAAACTTGTCACTGATTTGTAGATAAAACTCTTCCCCTGCCTGTCCTGCTGTTCTTTGCTGCTCAAGGTCTTCTGGGTGCTTTTATGAATGAAAAGCAGGTGAGCACATGGCTGTGTAGCACAGCTGGGCTGCGATGGCTTGGGAATGTGGTGAGCAGCCTGAAGTCAGGGTGCTTCTCCTGGGTGGTTTGGGGTTGCTTGCTTTCAGGTCAGACGTGGAGATCTGTGGTAGCAGCCAAATGTGGAATAATGATGAATAACTAATGCTGTTTGCAGCCTGGGTGGAGCATGTGTGTTCATATTTAGATGATGGAGAAGCATGTTTGGAGGAGATGCTGTTTCCAAAAGGTTGTATTAGCCATTTCAGAGACCTCACTGTGGGCAGGATCAGGAGGGCAGCTTGGGGAAAGGACTTTGTTTGCTTAAGGTGCCCTAAGGATGAGTGTGAGGCTGGAAGAGGATTTCCCAGTTGGAGCTGGTGCCAGGAAAGGGCAGGATGCTGTGTGCTGGCCAGGAATGTGAGGCAGGGTTTGAGAATGACAGTGCCTTGAGGCCACGATGTCTCTGTAAGCCTGGAAGAGGGGCAAGGCGAGAGGCTGTGACTGAGCAGTGTGAACAGCGACAGTGAATGGAAAAGAAGGATGTGGCAGAGTCTGCTTTGGGAGGCAGGAGTGAACCCTCGCTGTGAACCCAGGTGTGGTGCTGAGCCCTGTGTAGCTGGGAGCTGATGGTTATAGGTAGCAGCACTGGGACATCAGCCATGTCCCTGGGGAAGGGCTTTCTGATGGCTGCAGTGTGTCAGGGTCACGGCAGGCTTTGCAGAGCTTCAAGGGATTGGTGCAGGTCTCTCTGGAAAGCCAGAGACTCCAGCGTAGCCAGGGTGTCTGCTTTGGTCCTGACATGCTGGGAGATAAGAGAACCTGAACTTCTGAAGCCAGCAAGACCTAAACTGGCTTGGAGACAGTGGAGTTTCCCCTGGTACAGAAGGGCTCTGGCTTCTCATTTTGCTGGGCTTGTGCTCACTCCCCTTCCAGCCCTCTCTGCTGCCCAAACAGGCTGTCTGGTTTCCAACCAATCCTTTCTTCCTTGCTCCATGTGGTTTTCTATTTTCCCACTGCTCCTCCCACCCAGCCTCTCTCAAACTGGACCCCACTGCTCCTGTGGTTTGCAGGACCGTTTTGTGCGTGTTATTCTGTTTTGGCCAAGTGGCTCAGGAGAGGAGAGCCCAGGTGTCTGGAGATGGAGCACCTGTTTAATCTTATTTAAAACAAAACAAAACAAAAAAACCCAAACCCCAACAGAATCTTTTCCCCTTGGCAGTTTCCACATCAGGTGCTGTGTCCTTGTTGCTGAGCAAACTCTCTCCCATCTCCTGAAGGAGTCAACCTATCTCTCTGGAGGCTTGCCAGGATCTGTCCTTTCCCTGACCTTACCTCTGGGGCAATCCTCATTCAGGCCTTAATCACATCCTGTCTAGACTTTGTTGCAATTCCCGCTTTTATGGTCTTCTGAAGTCCCTCCAGCCTGCAGAGTGCCAAAGGAACCAGCGTGATGCAAGCAGTTGCACACAAGGTGTTGAACGTGGCCTTTGTCCTCGGTACATCTCTGATGTGCGTGGAAGCAACTCTGCAAAGCCCTGAGGTACCTTCACAGCGTGACCATGCTCACCCCCTTCTCAGCTCTTTTCTGCCCATCCCAGCAGGGTCTGCAGATCAGGATGGTCCTCCCTTGAACTTCCTCCCCTGAACTCTGCAAGCCCCCAGCTCTGCCGGCAGCCTGAAGGACATGGACTGGCACGCCCAGGTTTTATGTTCTCCTCTGCAGGGCCAGAGGCTTTTCTCACTCACCCAAGTGTTGCACTGCAGGTCCCCAGCACTCCTGGCCTGGGACGGGGTTGCCAGCTCCCTAATTCAGTGAGTGGCTGCGTTTGGCCAACACAGCGAGTTGACCAGAACCATACTTCCTGTCACAGATGTTTCAAGATCTTGTTTTCAGCCTTGTTTGGACACTTTCATTTGGGTGAGAATACCAGAAACCTGCACTTGCCTTCTCCCTTCACCACACTAATCCTACTTACTCCATCCTTTCTTCACTGTCTCTTGATATCCTCCTCTTCCTCATTTTTTACACCATTTCCCCATCTGCCCAGCCACTGCTTATGTTAGAGGGTAGGTGTGTGACCCCTTGAGGTCTTCAGCACCTTCTCTTCCCAGATGTTCATGGTAGCATATTTGATTCAGATGAGCCAAGGTGAGGTTCACAGGTAAAGTGGTCACCATAGATCCATTAGGCAGATGTGATGGTGTATCTTCATCAAAGTCTGAGTGTGTAAACCCCTTCCTGAGTGTATAAATTCCTTGCCAATTATCTTGGGAGGAAAAAATGTCTGAGGCGATTAAATAGGCAAATGCATTGTGGGCTAAAAGACTGCTGAGAAGTCTCAGAGAACGTGCAGTGAATATATATACATGCAGAAGTGAAAATCCAGGAGCAAGGCTGTAGCCAAGCAAGCTAGGACTTGGAAGCATACGATCAGGGGAGCATGGAGTCGAAGGGACTGGGTGATACCACCCTGTGTGTGGGGAGCTGTGACATTCTTGGTTTGATGAATCCAGTGGTGATGTCTGCTTTGTAGAGAATACTGAGAATTTGGGTGGCCTCACAAGAGGGCTACAAGGATAAATCAAGATCTGAAAAAAAAAGTAAGATTCAGAAAGCTTCATCCATTTAACTCAATGAATAGAGACACATGAACCTCACAGATGCAACCCTCATCATTGGAGGTTCTCTTTGGGGTTGCACCCAATTATTCTGGAGAAGAATCCAGTACTGGTAGATGAGGATGTGTGTGGCTCAGTCCTAGGGCTGGATACTTAAGACCTCCTCACCAAGGGTTATAGGGTTTCTCTGGCCAGTGATGCAGAGAACCATCACCACGTTCTCCTTTGGCGTCTGAAACCTCTCATGACAGACCTTGCCTCTGCTTTGCTCTTTGCTGGGCACAGCTGTGAGGCTGTTCCTAGAGAGAGGGCGATGTCTCAGGAAGCATCCACTGACCCAGGCTGTTCCTGCTGGGCAC